TTTTTTTTTTTTTTTTTTTTTGACAATACGTAAAGATATTAATATTCTTTAAAATATTCCAATAATATTTTTAGAAAAATATATCGTTCAGTTTTCACTTTTTGATAAGAATATTTAATTATAATTATTATTATTCATCAACATCTAAGCTTTGAGGTCTTATTATTTATTTCTATCGTCAGAAAAGTTTAATTATTATTATTCTTTCATTTTTCACAGTCAACGATTGTCATCGAGGAGAAACCGTTAAAGAGAGCTCAATGGGATGGTAAACTAGAGTTTCTAATGTCTTGCGTGGCATTTTCGGTCGGTCTTGGAAATATATGGAGATTTCCTTACACTGCCTACGAAAATGGCGGTGGTGCATTCCTGGTGCCATACATTATCGTACTGTTCATTATTGGAAAACCGATTTATTACATGGAGATGATATTAGGACAATTTAGCAGCAGATCTTGCATACAGGTTTGGTCCATCTCACCCGCCTTCAGAGGTATTTCAATTATTACGATTCTATCTATAATACATATAATGCAAGATGGCCTAAATAAAATAACAATTTCAATACATAATACACCTTTTAAACCGATATATCGAAGATGGAGACACGGAAAAGATATGCAATTCTTCTTTATCCTACTTTTGTCCGACAACAATATGGAAAAGTTGAAAATTTTAATTTTCCCCTCCCATTGTTTCAGGCATTGGGTACGGCGTGACCGTTTCCGTTTTCTCGGTGGTCACTTATTATTGCTCCCTGATGGCGTTGGCGATATTTTATCTGTTGGCTAGCTTTCAATCGGTTCTTCCATGGGCGTTTTGCTGGGAAGAATGGAAAAACATCTGTTTCGACAGCAGTTCGGGCAACAACGAAGCGAGAAATGTTAACAAAAGTAGCTCGGCCGATTTGTACTTCCGGCAAGTATAATAAATTTTAAGTATAAATTAATTTTTCATTCCATTATTTAATATCAAAGTAAGTAAGTCGAAAAAAAATTCTCTTTGTTATTTTTCTCCCCACTCAGCAAAGTGGTGCTCAACGAGGCTGGAATACACGAAGGATTAGGGGATCCATCGTGGAAATTGGTCCTCGCATTGTTCGCCAGTTGGGTGTTCATTTTCATAGTGCTTAGCAAAGGCGTGAAGAGCAGCGGGAAAGCGGCCTATTTCCTTGCTTTGTTTCCATACGCGATCATGATAGCTCTTTTAATCCGGGCAGTGACGCTGGAGGGAGCCGGGGACGGTATAATATTCCTTTTCAAACCAACTTGGGAGAAGATCTTCGATCCATCGGTTTGGTACGCGGCTGTCACTCAATCCTTCTTCTCTCTTGGAGTTTGTTTCGGCGCTGTTATCATGTATTCCTCATACAATCGTTTCGACCACAACGTATTGAGGTAATCTTTATACCTTCTAATTAAATTTATGTTTCACTATCCTGATTTTTTTAAAACGATTAAATTAAAATTCTCGAACAGCATCAACAATTTTTTTTCTTCGAATATTTCATGTTGCAAGAAAGATCGAGGAATTTGTCTGCAAATTTTATTACAAATAAATAAAATTAATTTATTCGCTGAGATATAGATCTCTTGTATAAATTAAATATCTGGAAAAAATATCTTAACAAATTGTTGCAGGGATTGCACGTTAGTGACAACCATGGATCTAATCACGAGTTTAATAGCAGGAACGACAATTTTTGGGATTCTGGGCAATCTAGCCCACGAAACTGGTAGAAACGACATCTCAACGGTGGTTCGTGCCGGTACAGGGTTAGCTTTCATCTCTTATCCGGAAGCGTTAGCTAAATTCACCGTTGTTCCTCAATTATTCGCCGTCCTGTTCTTCCTCATGCTGTTCGTCCTGGGAATCGGCACCACTGTGGCCTTCACCGCGGTCATTAGCAGTGTCATCAAGGATAGGTTCCCCAGTTTCCAAGATTGGAAAGTTGCTGGTGGCGTTTCTTGCGCTGGTTTCCTGATTGGGATCGTTTATTGCACGAGAGTAAGCGTTTCGTTGTTCGAATAATTCGTTGAAAAAAAAAAATATTATGCATATTATAATTTCTGTTAATTTTTTTCTTTTTCTTCTAAATTTTTCAGGGTGGACAATACATCTTGAACTTGGTGGATTATTTTGGAGGAACGTTCATCATAGTGTTTCTGGCTTCCTTTGAGGTTATCGCAATTTCTTGGATATACGGTAAATTTTTATTTTTTAATCGCGCCAATTTTTTCGAATGATCATGAAATTAATTTTATTTTTAATATCTCCGTAGGAATCGATAATTTTTTGGACGATACTGAATTCATGGTGGGCAGCAGACCTTCGATTTACTGGAGATTCTGCTGGTGCTTCTTAACCCCATTGACACTTTTCTCGATCCTCATTTACTTTCTCATTGATCTTACTCCTATCAAGTACAATGGAGAATACTATCCAACTTCTGCCTACGGTACGATTAATTCTACACGTTCGAATAAACAGAAATTATCTATTCTATTTCAAAAAAAAAAAAAAGAAAAAAATGAAAAATTATTCAATAAGGATAAAAGAATAATCTAAAAATAAATAATTGTTAAAAATCTGCATGATTTTTCTCATAAAAGCTTGGAAATTTCTATCAAAATTCTTCAAGAAGAATAATATAATTTTTTAAAAAAAAAGTTATATTACGTTTCAGTGTCTGGTTGGATGCTTTTGGGATTGGGAGTGATCCAACTTCCCATCTGGATGATCGTCAACAAATTAAAACAGAGCGAAGGAAAATCTTGTTTGGATGTAAGTATAAAAAAAGTGGAATTAGAAAAATAAAATATTTTTATTTCTCTTTTCTTGTCGTAGATTTTTAAGTCTAGTTCCGATTGGGGACCCAAAGATCCGATAAAGTACAAAGAATGGAAAGAGTTCAAAGATTCGAAGAGGATGGCGAGGATGAGTCTGAATAAGAAGAGGTCGAGAATTATCGCATTGTTGATTGGAGAGGATTAAATAAAAATTACAGTATTAACGAAATGAATCAAGGATTTTGAATTCCCATTCGAAATTTGTTTTTTCGTTTTTGTTCGATCATATCGTCGAGAGATCAATGACACTATTATAGGCAAGGTAGTATTATAAATATTAAGACTTTGTAATTAAATATTAAGCTCTTATCTTGCTTCAATAATTCTCAAATCTAAAATAAAGATCGAAGCAAGTAGCGATATATAGTATAATGTATCACAGAAAAAGTGAAATTTATTTTCTACATTGTATATATCACTGATATATCAAAAGTGTCTCTTTATCAGTCTCTATTCCTTTATCTCCTTTTTATTAATCAAAATGTGTACCAATTGAACCCATCTTGGCTTCTTTCTGAGACTTCTCTGCTTCTCTTTCTCCTCTTTGAACCGAAGCCAATCCTTTCTGAGCTCTGTATCCTTTGGCCCCCATTGCGAGGTTGGCAGAAAACATTTTCTTATATTCTATGAAAAAGAAATCAAACTGAAGTGAAAATTGTTTCAACGAGTATTATCGAATATTGTTATGAAATATTATTAAATAATAAAAAATTAAACGATATGAATATTAATCGATTAAAAGAAGGAATAAAAATATAAATTATATACCTTGGATAATGGCAAATTTCTGTTTTTTAACAATTTCACGATCATCCAAAAAGGTATTTGAAAAATTCCTAAGCAAGATATGACTATGCCAGCCGTATGGGCTGAAATCGGATATTCTTTTTCTCCGTAAGTCAATGGTTGTAGGGTAGCAAATGTATAAAAGAAAATAAATAACAAAATCAAAGGCGTGACAAGAAACCAACAAATTCTCCAATAGCTGCCTGTTTTCCTACCCAGCATGAATTCCACGTCGTTTAAGAAATTTTCTATACCTGTTTGTAAAAATATAATAGAACGTTTACTTTAATTTTAGACTATTATGATTTATTATGATTTAAGATGTAAATAAAAGTAACAATTAATTTTAGAAAAAAAAAAGAATATATATAATAAAATAAACAAGAATACAAACCGTATACCCACATAATGGCGGTGATTTCGAAAGAGGCCAGGAAGAACACTACGAACGATGTGCCGTAATAATCGACCAAGCTCAATAAAAATTGCCCACCCTGTAATGTACAAGTACATTTATTAATTAACGTTTAATAATGATAGTTATTTAAATTTGTAAATTATACGTACAGGAGTGGTGTAGATCGTACTGACTGCAAACGATATTGAACAGATGCAGAGAACGATTTTCCACATCTGCACATTTGGAAGCTTTTCCTTCAAAGAATGCGCAAGTCCAGAGACCATTCCTACGATACTTCCCAAGCCGAGAACGAACATCATCACGAAAAAGAGCACTGCGAATAGCTAACAAGAGATTAAATTTCTTTCTACAATTTCTCTCTATATTTCCAAAATTTACCATCGTTCACATTTATTTACTTGGGGCACAATGTTGAATTTCGCTATGGCGTCCGGATAAGAGATGAATGCCAAGCCAACTCCAGATTTCACCACTTTACTGATATCCTCGAGGCCCATTTTGTGCGCCAGGTTCCCCAGAATTCCAAATATCGTGCAACCTGCTACGAAACTCGTCAACGTGTCGAGAGTAGTTACGATAAGCACATCTCTGAAACACGAAAAATCCCATTTATAGGAGTGAACGTAAAAATTCAATGGAAAAATTTCGTTTCGTTTCCTTTTCCTTTTTTTTATCGACGATTTAACTTTATTATTGATTTTCTATCAACAATATTTTTCTTATACCCACCTGTATAAATTATGTTTGAAGTCATTGTGGGACGAGTACGTGAGAATAGGGCCGAAACAAACGGAAAGAGAGAAGAAGCATTGTGTGACGGCCGCGTACCAAACACTTGACTCGAAAAGTTTCGACCATTTCGGAGTGACGAAGAACAGTATTCCGGTCACAGCACCATCCAGAGTCACTGCTCTGATCAGAAGGCTGAATAGGATGATATATGGGAAAATTGCGAGGAAGTAGGAAGCTTTACCCGAACTTTTCACACCTTGGGACGTGATCAGGATGACGGAGATCCAACTGACCAGAAGGCAAAGCGTTAATTTCCAACTTGGCAATCCGATTCCATCGTCTATACTGTCTTTCTCTTGAAGCACCACTTTTCTGCACGTTATTTATTCATCGATTCAATTTTTTAATTCACTTTTTGATGGAAAGAAATTTCTTTTAGATCATCTTCTTACGCGTGTAATAAAATAAAATCGAACTTTTGAATTCGTGTAACATTTAGCACGTGAGATACATATTATTTCTATAATTTATTTAATATCATAAATAAAATGGTGAATATATTTAAGTCCAGAATTAGAATTAAAAATAAAACGATCGAAAAATATTTGTAATACGTTATTTAAGTATTTTTTAATTTCTTAAAAAAAATTGTATCGTAGATTTACGATTTTTTTTATAGTTTATAATCTTTTCGAGTAACGAACTTACAAAAAGTATAGCTCAGCCGAACTTCTGCGCTCTTTCTCATTCAACAATTGCACAAACGAGGTAATATTGGTCGTGTTATTATCGATCTGCTGACTGGAATCGATGCAATAATCCAACCATTCTTCTCTACATTTTGCCCAAGGCAATTCAGCCGAGAACGAGGCGATAAGAAAGAAAAGCGTCAGAGCCATTAATGAACTGTAATACGTCATCAGGGCAGTGTTGCAGTAGAATTGGGACCATCCAATTCCTGATGAAATTTTTAATATCCTCATCTTAGAATTTATATAAATTCGAATCTTCAAACTCTCTCATTTCTCAAACAACCGCAAATTAATAATTATGAACGATAAAATTATTTAATTACCACATTATGAACGATAAAATTATTTAATTACCACTAAATCCCGGGGATACGTTCCAGACGTTAATTGACGAGGACGAGGAAAATTGTCCCAGGATAATCTCCATGTAATAAAACGGTTTACCAACGAGGAAAAGGACGATGATGTAAGGTATTAGAAACACTCCACCGCCATTTTCATAGGCAGTGAAAGGAAACCTCCAAATATTGCCAAAACCGATCGATATCGCGATGCAGGACATCAAGAATTCAATTTCGTTGTTCCATTTGCTTCTTCCCTTAATTTCTTTTGTGATTTTCACACATCTCGACTCCTCGTACGATTTTTTATCCGTTTCATCTACAGCGAACGTTGAATTCTGATCACCTCTGTCATTCTAGAAAAGAAAAAACTTTGTAAATTTTATAAAAAAATATCTTTCACATATTTTTATACGCTTTTTATATTTTATATTTTTCTATACAGGAACACTTTAATAACCTCTGCCATTATATAAAAGAATTCTTTATATTTATATATTCCTTGTAATTTATATTTTCCTATAAAAAAATTTGTTCCACAAATTATACAAATAGAAAAGTCGTACAAATAGAAAAGAAATATCTTCTTAAATTAATGATTTACACAAAGATTTAGAAAGACAGATCAGAGATTGAGAATTCGCGAAACAAAGCCACGCGAAATATTATGAATATGTGGCAGGAAACGTGTGCCATCGTATCACTTTGATGATATCAAACGAATTACATTTTAAGCTTTTTAATATCTTACAATCGTTATCGCGTTAGTAAAATCTCATTATCACAGATATTTTCCCGGGAAAAATGCATGGAAGCAATTTATGACTTTTCGCACTCTTGTAATGAGTTGAAAGAACAAACAAGATAAACTTTTTTAATAATTAAATAACGTGCGATTATCTTTTAAAAATAACAACGCCACGATCAATTTTTAATACCAATTTTTCAAAATTTCAACAATCAATTTTTAATCGTGAATTTTTCCTATTCTTTAATATAATTCTTTAATATCAATTCTTTGTTCGATATATTGATCTCATAATTTTTAGTTATATTTAGCTAATTTTTAACAATTTTATGATTAATTCCATTTTTGCTCTATTTCATGGTATATTTTTCAATATCGATTTTTCACAATTCTTCGAATGAATTTTCACAATTCCAAATTCTAACGATCAACATCTTCCTATAATATCTTCCTATAACATGAAAAAAAAAAGTATCACTCATTTCCCTTTCCTCGTTCATTGATTCTAAAACAAAGATTAAGTAAAATTTGTCGATGAAACAAAAAAAAAGAGAAATCGTGAGATGGGAACGCGATTTTGCAACTCGTGGCTTCCATCAGCATCGTTCACTATACAAAGGAAAGTTTGTTTCCATTTTATTCTATTTTACGAATTCGAGAAACCTTAATGATAATGCAAGGATTTAGATTACGTTTTCATCGTGTGGCTGATTTGATAACAATTTCATTCCAGAAATACAGATAGAAATACAGATTTTTCGTTTTGCCATAAATGTAATGCGAATACAATTTGAATTTGAAAAGGTTTTCTTAAACGAAGAAAACTGTATTCCAGTTAAATACGAACGAGTGTTAAATAATGATATTCGTGGATCGTTGAAAAGATGAAAAACTCCGAAGATTAAAAATTTCGAGAGAAGAGGAAGAGATATTTCGATTCGATTGGAAATAATAAATAAGAAAATTTGCAATTGTAAATAATTCTTTTAATTTTACAACTTTGAAAGTTGGATCGATCAGATGCAGAGAGTAAATTCGAACGAACGAATTCTTATTCGTAATGAAGTTGGCGATGAGAAATTAGACAGTTGTGAAAGAGAATCATAACCTTTGGAAGGAAAGATCATCATCGAGATTAAATGAAGAAGAAAAAATGCCGAAACTTGACGAGGTATTACGATCTTCTTTGCACTTTACCGAAACGTACAAGATAAAATAACGTTAATAATCGTAATTAGCTCGAAAAAATTTTCAACGAATACGGTTTGAGTGATACCGATTTGGAAAAATTAAAAGAGAGAAAGTACGATGAGGTTAACGAAGAAACGAAGAAAGTATTGACAAATGTAGGGATTGGTGAAAAAGAGATAGAAGAAATGTTGAGCATACAAGAAGAAAATAAGATGGATCATCAATGTCATATCATCAAATCGCAGGAAGAGTTTACGCAATGCGGCCAAGAGACACCGGAAGAAAAAATAATACCCCGAGAAGAGATCAAGAAATTTTTGCAGGATAGATCGATGAGCCGGAGTTTCATTAACACTTTCTTAAAAATTGGTTTCAATGAGGAATTTCAGAGGTGAAAGGATTAATCGGTATTGGATTTAGAAAAATCGAACGATTCAATCTGCGATTAAATCATATTTAAATAAAGAGGAGAGAGAAAAAAAAAAGAAATTTTGTTTAGGCTTCTATGCGGTATGGGTTTCGATAATGAGGAAATATCGGAATTAAAAAAATTGTGGGAATTGGAAATGGAAAAATTTGATACCGATTCGCTCGATTCATTGGCTTCCTCTTCTGCCGAATATTTGTCGTCTGACAGTCTTTATTTAAAATATCTAATCAGCAAGCCTTTGACACAAGCTCTTCGCGAGATCGTTATGAAAAAACCTTTCGATCCTGTCGAATATCTCGGTTATTGGCTGTTAAATTATAAAGTTAAATATATTT